AAACACTTTATCTTCACTCTTTTTATCTACATTACCAACCTACAGTTCTGTAATTGGTTATAGTGCAAAGTGGAATCATTTCCTTATTCCTCAAATTTAAAGTGCACATCTGAATCACCTAAGCATTAAGTCATTCTAGTGATTAGACAAATCCTATCTCATACTTCAGAAAGGATTGCTTATAAATAAACCTATAAAAAAGATTTAGTAAAGATAATCCAAAAATATATTCAAAGAAATATGTTATTGTACTAAAAATGTGAAATTCAACATTGTTCCTGTATTCCAGTAGCCTACTTAAATAGTAATGACTGTCTTCAGCCAAAACTCCTTGGAAACAGAAAATGGGGACAGTAAAGAGTTACTTTTAAATTTATTTCAACATAAAGTTAATTCTAGATAGCAAAACACTTCTTCACTTCCTCCCTATCTCACTCAAGTCTTTTCTAGCTATTTTATATTGTAGTGAAAGAAGACCAACTCTGACTTGGCAAGGCATTTGGAGATGCATTTAAAAACAAAATGCATGTTATTATGTAGATGTTAAGTAGGAGTTTGGTACTGTAGTTTCTAGAGGATGTCTGTTGTAGCTGAGTAAGTTTCACTGGTGTACCTATGAAGCACCTTCCACAACCTCTCTCTGCACTTGAAAATTGCTGGCCTTGCTTGGGGTGAAATGCTTTGGAGCATGTACCTGTTTTTAGTGGAGGATGAGTTGTGTGCAAGGCTCCAGGCACTGCTCTGCGCTCCTCTCTCTGGCCCCAGCTCTTCCATCTCACCCCATGTCCCACTCCTCTTTCCATGCAGAAAGCAGGGGATGTGGGAAGGAAGTCACCCCTGCGCCTTCCCTGCCAGAGGCCGCTGCCCCATGGGAGCGCACACTTGCCCGTGGCTCTCTTGGGTAAAGCGGTGACTGTCCCCACACATGCTGATCCTGCCTGAGCTGAGGGCATCGGTGTGGCCCGGGTGGTAAGAAAGTCTCGTGCTTCTGGCTCTTTCCTTAGTGGTAACTATGCCAGATTTCTGGTACTGCTGGGGTAATCCACCAGATCCTAGAGCCCTTGCCTCTGCTCTTGCATGGCTCTTCAAACGTCAGCGTTTTTATTCTTTGAAGCTAAGCTCTATGGCAACCATGAAAACAAGACCTTGCTAGCACAGAGCTTGCACCTATAGTGAATAGTTACTGAGGTCCAGGCTGGGATGGCTGTTGCCTTTCATACAGGGGAAACTTCTGGTGCACGCAACCCAGTGTGTCTTTGAGGACCTGAACTGGGGCAGCAAAGCCCAGGACAGCCGAGGTCACTGGCCCCTACAGCCTACTGAATGGAATTCCTTCTCCAATCACACCATTTCTGCCTGTGCAGCGCTGTAGCGGAGGTGCCACAGTGTGATAGATGCTGCAGAGCACCCCTGTTTGCAGCTTCCCAACCCCATTCCCTGCTGCTTCATTCCACAGCTATGGAAGAATCCGTTGGCACATGAATATTCCTAGTTGCTGACAGTAGCTGTTGATCCTGGCTTTGTGCAGAGGGCAAAAAGGCCTTTGGGTGTTTTGGGGCCTTTCCCATAAATCGTTAGTGGACAGCTGGTATTGATGCCTGGAGGTCTTTTGTAATCTTAACTGACGTCTGTCTTTGCCATGTGACTTTGTACAAAGTTGTTTAGAAGTGTAAAGGCTTCTGTTAAACTGGCGAATATTATGGTTACAGTAAAAGACAAAGAAACAGCAGGTCAAGAGAGTTCTTTCATGCCATGGCATCCAGATATTTGAAAGTATCATCTTTGAACCATTCCCCTCTCACTGGAAACGTTTTTATTCTTAATAGAATTACTTAATACATACAAAAATTCTCTAACTGTGGAGTTTTCATAATCTTTTAAATATACTTAATCAATATCTCCTGTTAGAGGACTGAATATGATTTTCAGTGTAGAAGTAGGATGCACGTACCCTCACTGTGTGATGATCTATAGGTAACAATCCATTAGGGATATTAGAATTTTATGCTTTTTGTGTGTGTATATATATGACACAGTGTAGTTTTTACTGTAGATTATCATGTTCTCCCTCATAGAGATAGTAGATTCATACAAGTATGAGGAATATTGTCCTTGTTCAACAAATCCATGTTCCTCCCAACTCCGTATTACATTTGCCAGCACTGTAATCCAGTCTCATCACTTTCAGGACTTCGTTATCACTTTATCTGAGTACACAGATCTACTCTCACTTAAGTAGTAAAGAATGAAATTAAGGGTAATTGTTTAGCTGCTTTTACTTGGATTTGTTAATATTTTCCAAACAAGGTAATATTTGACTACTGAATGTTTGGGAAAGAGGCAGTGTGAACCAGGCAGTGAAGTGGTGTAGAATAATTCTGAATTATTCTACAATCTGGCCAGATTTTTTTTTATATGCTGATCCATTCATTGAAGAATTCCTTGATGAGAGAAACCAGCTATTTTAAATAGCTGAGGGAGAGAGGATAAGCTTGAAAGTTCATGTGATGTTTTATGATTGCCTCTTGATTATGGGTCCAGTACTTCAAAGAGTCTTTTAAATACTTTTAACTTACTGTTAACTCAGGAAATTAACAACCCTTTTTATAAAAAATATATTTATGACAACTCTGAAGGAGATAATGTCCAGCCTTTTAACTATGTTTAATTTGTAGTACCTGCTCACACAAATAAGCACATGCATCCTTTAGTAATAAGGTTTTTTTGGAACATACGTATAAAGAATTAATTAACCTATACTATATGAAGAAACAATTGCTTAAAATGAATTCCACCTAGTAAATGAAACAAAATTGTAAAATAATACTGCTTGAAAATAAGGAAGGATTATACAGCTTCTTTCTGAGGCAGTTGAGCAAAATTAGAGAACTGCTATTTTTAAATCTCTCTAATCCTTGGAGGAAAAGAACAATCCCAACCAAACCCAAGGTTGCTATGCTAAAATCCTCAGTGCGGGGTAATGTTGCCTCTGTTACTTCATATGCAACATGCATTTGGTAGTGCACCAGATGTTTGCCTCCAGCTGTATTTTACTTTTGTATACACACTCTGAGCAATAACAAATCAAAAATTTAAAACATGGTCAAAATAAAAACATTTTGCAATGAGAAACAGCCTGGGCTACTGGACTCAAAATATCAAGTATTTTTAAATGTCAGATTTCCATATCTTGAGATGTTTGTCTTTCAACAGAGAAGAGTAGCAGGAGTGTTTACAAACTATGCAACAAATATGATCTACTGTGTTATAATTCAAAAATGCCACTCTAGGCCATTCTAAATGGGGGAAAATGTCTTAACATAATAGTCATTTCCCTATTTATTACTGTGAAGTGTAATTAAGATAGGTCACTTGGATTATTTTTTCATGTTTTAGCAGTATCTAAGTCATGTCAATAAACTTTGAAGAATGAGAGTTCCATAAACTCGTATGTCAATCTTTGTGACTTATGTAACACAGAGGAAATGTATGTAAGCACAGTTGTACTTTTCCTCCAAATATTTTGGCAGAGATGATGCCTATTTTTTTGTTACAGTTTTTCTGAAGCAAAAATGGGGGTATTGCAAAATTTTAATGCAGTTTGTCTATCTCCAAAGCTGTATGAATTCTTATCAGTTGGGGAAAATCTTCTAAAAAAGACTTAAAAGCCTTTAGGTTTTAATTTAGCAAAGCGTAACTCAAGGTCTTTAAAAAGAAAAAAATCATTTACAGGAAGCAGTACATGACATATATCTTCCAAGTGATATTCAGACGCAGCAGTACCTTGTGCTGTCTCTGAGTTGATATCAACACACACCTTCCAGTGGAACTATAATATGAAGTACTTTGAATGCGTAATATAACTTAAATGCACCATATGTGCTCATTGCCTCATATTGTTCTTAAGACAAGAAAGTCCTTAAATTCTAAAATGCAAATCAGAAATTTGTCATTATTTTGTAAAACTGAAATAAGTGTTACAAATGCTAACTATTTTCTAATACTATGGGACTTACCTACTGTGTTCTGGACCCGCTTTATAATTAAAAATACACTGGAATTAAAAAAATTTTAAGGAACATTAAGTACTGTACAATTATACCACTATGTAACATTATATATAAACACTTGGCAGTAAAGCTTCAGTAGAGAGTGATTTACTGTGGAAAAAGTTGCTGCTGCTGAGTTTGATGTAGAAACTTCAATAGCAGATGTATCTTTGCTGGGTGTCATTCTTCCATTCCACTGTGACTTGGGAAAGCAAGTCATGCAGGATCCTTATTTTCTCCCCTCAATGCCTGTAGTTGTCCTGGTGACTCCTGGGCATATTTCTAACAGAAACTCTCCTGTTAAACCTGCCAGCCAGAACTGTATGTGCTAAAAGCCTTAATCTTGTTATTGGTGAATGTCCTCATGCCGAATGATTTTGTAAATTACCCAGTAAAAAATGTTGAAAATCAGAAAGGCTAAAGGGAAGCAAGCTCTGGAAATGGTGTCTATTTTCTTGGCCCGGTCAATAAATACCTTTCGCATCTCATCGGGGGTTTTTGGTGCAGCTTGAATGGGGTTGTTTGGCCCCATTTGTGTCACTCCATCTTTTGCTTGCAGACATGGTCCTACTCCGTATGCTGTAAAACTAAATCGACTTTCTCTTACATCATCATCCTGTGGCAAAAAGGGTAGAGGAAAAAAAAAAAGGCAAGATATTTATATTTATAGAAATCTTATCAGCTGCTATGTACCAAGTCCTGCATGTCACTGACTTCTGGAATCTGCACTTTAACTTGTTGAAATCTGGCCCTATCAATGTCTCTGTCCAAGCTACTGCAGACGCTTCAACGGTTTTATCTACTTGTTTATAGACTCTGTAATCTGTTCGGAGACAAAAGGAACTCTTGGTAATCTGGTAGCAGTTAGGAACGCAACTGCTGCTTGGTTTTGATTTTCCCCATTTACAGCTGATGCCTGTGCTCTTCAACAGGGCAAATTCCACATAGGTTTTGTGGACAGCAGGCATTAACTTTGCACGTTACTAGAAAAAAGGTTTCCTGGCCCTGAGACACAACCATCATGCCAATAATAGTGATGGTCACAATAGGTAAACAGGCGATGATCAAAAAAGCAGAATTCTCACTAATATGCTTAATCAGTTTTATGCCTTATTTCTACTCTTCCCTGTGTATGCCTTAGAGGAAAAAAATAGCGACAGTTTAAAATAATGTGAATGAAAGCTAAGGGCCTTATTTTTTCCTTACTATGTCCCCTGCTTTAGGGAAAACCTGGCAATGATGCTCTGAATTCAGAGAGCTCTAAAAAAAAAAATTGAATCTGATTATAAATCATGCTGCACAGAAACAAAAATAGTTGCAAGATGTATGTATTCTCAAAGGATTTCAAGAATGTGGCTTCCACCAGGAGATGCATTTTATACCTCTCTCTCTCTCTCTGGTCAGAAGTAGTCTTAAGTAGTGACAGAGGTAGAAATGCAGACAGATAAATAATACATAGACTGAGAAGCCAGGCTCAGATGAGATTTGAACATACTCTAGAATATTCCTGCATTATCTATTGCTACCAAAATACAGTTCTATGATTTTGATGGCATTCATATTTTTCTAGCTAATTTTAAATTCAAAAATTCCTTTTCTTTCATGTCTAACCTCTCAATTTATTTAATATTTTAGGCTTTTTATGTATGCTATATGCTACTTTTTAACTATTTTGGAAAATCATTTTCATTAATATGAAAATTGCAAGAAAGCATAAATCAGTTTTATTTATATGAGAAATTTTGCTATTTTAAAATTCTTCATAGAGTTAATTAATTTTTTTTTAATTTACCAGTGGCTGTTTAAATATTAACTTCCAAATTTTTCATTTTGAAAATACTAGTGCTATTCAGAAAATCTGGCAGTTTTCTGAAATGGACAGTTAATTTTAAACATCCTCGAAGTTTAAGTGATAATTACAAGGAAAAAAATCATTGTTAATTTCTTCTTTTTAATTTAAGAATTTTAATTACTACCATCAGTTGAATTGGTTATCTACAAGGAAATGCAAACAAATTGGTATTTGATGGTAACAAATTGGCAAACAGCATAAGCATCCTGCAGTGTTGTAGTTATCACCCAACCAACATAACTTTTTAAATATGCAAGTTGAATAAACTTCTAGACCGAGTTTATTGAAAGCACTATACTTCAATCCTGCATTAGAATAATTCTATCAAACTGAAAGTAATGGAAAATTAATGCGAAAGCAAAAGAGAAGAAAAAGTACTGATTTAAATGTGGACATGAATAACAGAAATACAAAATGATAGAGTTCATTTGATGACGTGATTAAAACAAAGGACTAATTACTATAATGCCATGCTTCTGTTCTTTAAAAAATAAGTAAAAATAAAAAAATATATTTGGTGAAACATTTACAGTTGACAGAAGTTATAAATCTATAGCCTATAATGATTATTCAATGTTTAAACCCCTTGATAGGGGCAAAGACCCATGAACCATGTTTGGCATCTTATCACGTTTCTGCAGCTGGTGATAGTGCTGATACCATCCCTGGTACTGAATGGCTGTAATAACTGGATAAGAGCTCTTGGTTGGGGGTGCTTTTGGTGTGAGACACCACAGTGCTATGGCTTCACTGGCCCCGTGCAGGACTTGTCTCACTTGAGTGGACCCACAGTGTGGTGTTCAGGCCCAGCTCTCTGCTCAGTTTGGACTTGCCAACATCTTGGCTTTAGTCTGGGCACAGGCTGCTTGGGAATCTGGCATTGCTGAGGCAATGATGGGAATGTTCTTGTCAGGGTCTGCCTTTTCTGCCCCGTGTCTGTGGGACGCTGGATGCCCAGGCAGAGCGGTTGGCACCCACCAAGTCGAGCCCAAGTGGCCATGCAGAGATGGGTGCTGCCGAGAGGTGGGTAATGTGACAGGAACGGCCCTGTCTTCTTGCTGAGGTACCAGCTGGAGTATGCACAAGGTAATTCTGCAAGTGTTTCAGCAGACCAGTAAAGCAGAAAAATCATCAAATTGGGCCTCAGGGTTATATTGTGTAGCTACTGGTGCTAATGAAATTAACTTCTGGGAGCTTATTCTAAGCTGTTTGTATAGTGACAGTGATGCCTCGTTTGTTTTCATAAAATGACTTGGTTAAAAATAAATCTCAAAATACAGGTGCCTGAGATCACAGCTGTTGAGATTAGAAGGGTCCTGTGTATCCTGACACTGAGTCTGCACAGCTAAATATCTTCCTCAGAAAAAGTTGTTGCATTTGGGGTGGAAGTTTTCTTTTTTTTTTTTTCTTTTTTTTTCTTTTTTTTTCTTTTGAATACATCTTTAGTGCATCCTCACTAAGGAAAAGCAAATGAATGACATCATATCTATTACTGATAAAGATTTTTGTGAAGTTTTAATATGAATGTGGTTTTCATACATACTGTATAGCAGCTAACTATTGTAACTATAATAAAGGTTATTAATACTTCATCAATATTCATTTAGAGAATTAGAACTTGACAGTTTGAAGAAAATAATTCCACCTAGTTTCTATGTCATATCCACGTTGTGCCATAAAATATTAAGTCATAAAATAAGAGAAAGATTTCAGTTTCTGTCGGCTTGTGAGTGTGCTGTTTTGTATGTATGAACTTAACATTTCTTTAGTAAATAATTTATCTACAGAAATAATATGTATAACTTCTGAAAATATCTTTTGTAGCCTTTTGACTGTAGGTTGCTGAAAATTTAATTGAAGCCTTGGTATTGGCTGTTTGAATGCTAATTTTGAAGAAAAGTAATGATTTTTTTTTGCACTACAAGCAGTTTTAAATATTTGTCTGGTAACAGTTGATTTCTCTTAGAAATGATGTCAGTGTTCCTTTAAGGTTGCAGATGGTGTAATTTTAATTTTATGTTTTAATCCAGTTTTTAAAAGATCAATAGGGATTAAAAAATTAAGAGGGGTTCCTTTATTAACATTTCACGTCATCACATACAAGTAGTAATGAAGGTTTACGGACTCCACATGGGAAGACATTAGTTCAGACAAAAGGACAGGGCCTCCGTTAATGACTGGGTATCACACTATGACAAATGGGACATCTTCTACATAATTTACCCTTAAATTTGTACTGTAGATTTGAGGCAAAGTCCCGTCTATACGTCCTGCACATCTCAAGCCATTGCTATGCTGCAATGATGCATTCATTTCATTTCCATCAAGATCTCCCTCAAAATACTTTCATCAAAACGGATGGGTTGACCAAAAAGAAAACAAAAGAAAAGACGTGTGATTACCATTAAATCAATCTAGTTCTCATGTCTATTTTCCTCACTAAAGATGCTTTGATCTTTAGATTTTTGAAAATAGAATTCTATGATTGACTATTCCTGAAAAGTAAATATTTTACTCAAATGGGTAATGTAGAATCAAAGTGTTTTTCAGTATATGTATACAAATAATGTTTCTCTTGTACAGTGAAAATTCATTCAAGAAAAACAATGTCCATAAATGGCCCTATGTTTTAGTATCCCTGTATGACTTCTATCATTTTTCTTTTCCAAGAACCTAAGAGAATGTTACTTTAAATGAGTAATTAATATTTATTCATTCTGAAAGAATATTTCTAGCATCTCAGTAAGACAGTGTTTGTGAAGTTGATAAGGTCTTTGGCCACATCTCTTCCCCAAGCAAAGCAATGCTTTTCTGTATTATCTAATGAATGCCTGCTACATGCGGTTGCATTATTAAAATTTAGTATTAACATTCAATTTAAAAACTTGGACAAATCTGAAAAAAAGTGATGTTAATCAAAAGATGCAAAAATGAGGTACTAAGATGGGAAAGACTGATCTCACAAACGAGATGAAAAGCAAATGGCTCTACAGTAGTTCTGGAAAAGGACTTGGGAATTAAGGAAGATCACAAGCTTGATATGGGCGAACACTATGCTGTTGTTAAAAAGTCAAATATCACATGGATTGGGGTAAACAAATGCTTTGCTTGTATGATATGTAACACTTCTGCTGCTCCTAACTGTTACTAGTTAGGCTTCATGTTGGAAACACTACAATTGCAGGGAAGCTATATGGGCTTATTACAAGAATTTGCAGGGTAGAGTAGTGAGAATGAGGAATGAGCATGTAGGAATCATGCCCTGAAAGAAACATTAAACAAACTGGAAATACTGGTTTAAAGAAGAGCAAATGGAAACGAAATATGCAAAAAGTGGTTACAGAAGGAATAGGGTAGTCTGCTCTCTGTGCCCATTTTAGATGGGCCATGAGGAGCCTAGAAAGACATGAGTATAATTGCAAGAGTAATAAACTATTGGAACAGATTGCAGGGGAGGTCCTGGATTTCTTATTGCCAGGATGAATTAGGTATAATCGATGCTGATTTAGGGCAGGAACATGGTTTCTGTGACCTCTCATGGGCCTTCTAGCACTGAACTTCAACCATTTGACTGTTGCGATAGTTGGTAAAGGTGAAATATCTCTTGTAATAAGTATGCCTTTTTAGTTACAAGAAAAAAAAACAACTATGGGAATTCTTCAGCTGCTCTGTCACAGCAAAAATATATCATAACAATATACATATTATGCATATCATAACATATACACCCCAGTAAAATGTTTGAAGATGATAAGCATATAGGATGAAAAAGTCTACTGGTTTATTGTAACTTTACTTTTCCAAGCTACCTGGACATAAATACTGAATAGAATAATAGTTTTCATTTTGCAAAGAAAGAGGATTTAATGTCCAAGGAAACTCTTGAAAGTTATTTTAAGTCTTTCCAGGTAACTTCTTTTCATGCGTTCTTCTTTTGAGATCAAATGAGCTTAGATGATGTTACCTTAGAAGTTGAATAAAATCTAGTTTGTGAGAACTGGTAGCTCCTCACAGCATTTCAGTGTGAACTCGAGGATATTTATGGATCACAAAAGCATGCTAAATGCTAAACTTTATAATCATGAGCTCTAATAGCTGACTGAAGAAAGACAAAAGGCCGCATAAATATCTTGATTTACCAACCTAGGTTTTTGTGTTTTAAATTGTGGTGAACAAATAGTAACATTTGTGGTAAAGAAGGCTAGCTATTAACTGCTTGCTTTGATCTGTAAGACAACAGTTGTTATTTGTATACCAGAGTGTTTAGGATGTGGTCCAAACTTTTTGAAGAGATAAAATCTCCATACTACAATGTTTCTGGTATCTTTGCTGGGCAGACAATGGTTTAATAAAACATTGAGGGGAAAAAAAGAGAAACAATTAGTGGAGCTGTCTCTGGAGCCCAAGATATAGATTCTTGAAGGTTACCTCTGGTCAGGAGCTCTCTCTCTGCACAGAGCTAGAGTCAAATTTAAATCTAGTTAAATTTGTTTTGTCAGAAAAATGGCTTTTTGTCAAGATAATAACCTGGCAAAGGAACCAACCATTTTTAGGTAAACTTATGCTGTGAAAACTGTCTCATGATGAAACATAGAGACAAGGAGGAAAAAAAAAAAACATGGATTCAGTACCTTTCCCTGGAGTTTAGGAAACTCATGTTCAAGGCTATGTCATGCCAGGGATTTAGTGCCTTAGCTAGAAGGTTATTTGCTATTGTATGGTGAACTGGGCTCTCACTTTCTACATAGTGTTTGGAAAAATAAATGTTTCCAAAACACTGGTTTCAGCCTAATGCAGAATTGATTGCTCAGGAAGAAGGGAAAGTGAAAGAAAGAATGGAAAACTAAATAAGTTAGAAAAGTAATTTTATATCCAGTTCTTTATTTTTTTTCTTTTTATATTCTAGTCTTTTGGAGTTAGTATAGGTCATAGCAACTAGGATTTTCTGCTTCTAAACAGTAGATTTCTGAAGTTCTGTAGATGCAAAGATGTTAAAAAAAAAAAAAAAATAAATAAAAAAAAAGGAAAGAAAAAAGATGACAAAAAGTAGGAAGCAAAACAAGTTATTTGAAATGTTATTTGCCAACACAATGAGAAATCTGCTCCAAGTAAATCTTTCAGAGTAGCAATAAAGAAGTAAAAAAGGTTAAAACTGACAGATCAGCTATCTTTAAAACTAGTTAGCCATAGATATTATAGCCATAGCTAGCTACTTCTATGCCATAGATTTCAATGCAAAGAACAAGAAAAATGTAGACTACCTATTGTAATTAGCTAATCAACAAATGGTGCCATAGGTGCATTCTCCATAGCTGCTATATAATGTTTCTTTGTGATGCAAGCACTAAAGCGAGGTAAGTCTCCAGGACTAGAAGATGGCTGTCCAGATCCATGTGTCATTACTTGCTACAGTCAGACCATACAGTCAATCCATAGAAATTTTTTAGATAGTCATTGAAACCTAGTGAAAGATTCTTCATGATGTCAGTTACAGATACCAGGAGAAATATTTTTTCTTGGAAAAATCTGAGGTAGGAGTCATGCGTAAAACCTTGCTTCAGTGCTTGCTTTAGATGACTTCAGAATTTAAATTTGCGGTGTCAAGTGCTTGACTTCGTGCAACATTTGCACTGACTTATTCTGCTAGTAGTCTAGAGGTTTTCAGTTATAAAATAAGTGTTAATAACTATTCCTCTATTAAAGTTTCTTACTAAATATGTGACAATTGACTAAGGTGAATTAACAGGACAGAAGGAAAAAACCTTAGTCAGCTAGCCCTTTAAGGTAAGATATTTGCTCTTCCACCAACAAAACAATTGAAAAAGTGAGTTTTATATTAAAAATATTTACATGAAACACAGCTGTTAGGAGCTTGAACTGAACTCTAGAAGTAAGTTAGGAAATAATATTTGTTGAATTGCAATACAAGATGCTGTATGTGCAAGTAACAATCATCCTCTAAAGAATAATCTGACTCTTCTAACAGAGTGAAATTCATGCCTATGCAGATGGCTCCCACATGGCCCGTGCCTCATTTAAATCCCTCTTAATCCCTCTTTGGAGAATTCAGGTTGAATTTATGCAGTACATAGTCCTTGTAGTGACCCTCTGCCTACAGTGGATTTGATTTTGTGCTGCCACTTTATTTATATAGCCACTTTAAGCAGCACTATGTTTACCAAGGAAAGCTTGTATCGTGGCATAAATCAGTTCTTTTGACTCTTTCAAAGTTGTTAATGCTGATAGTTTTACCTTGTTCTTCTTCCTCTTCCGGCGGAATCGCAGGAGTTCTTTATGCTGCCTTGACACAAAGTTTACGGCTGCATATTCCAGAAGTGCAGAAAATACAAAGAGCAGACACACAGCCATCCAGATGTCAATTGCTTTGACATATGACACCTGTGGAGAAATAGAGTAGAAGACTGAAAATGTAAAAACACAGATGTGAAGTTTACTATTACATAAAGTGAGGAGGGAAGTGCATTAATATCTCTGGATTCTAAGACTATGCTGATCAAATAGAGCTTAACATAAAATCTAGATAGGTAACAAGAGGGCTTATGTTCCTTTATTTTTAAGTGAGTCACAAATATTTTCATCTCATTTACTTCTTAGGAACGTACTGTAGGTCATAAACCAAGTAATCCACAAGAAACACATACTTTTCCATTTCTTCCAATATAATATGTAAATGATGCTAGAGAACTGGAGAATGGGACCAGTGAGAATTCTCCTGTTCTTTGAAGAGTGAGATTTAAAGTTGCTGGCAGAGAAATTAGCTTGAAGAGGGATGATAAATGCAGAACTTTGATATGTTTATTTGCTGTTAGTAAACACATGATAAATCAAATATATGGGTTCAAGTTAGTCTTAATTATGACACAGGAGAAGTATGAAAAATCAATTGCTAACTATAGGATCTCTGTCAGGACCCTGACAATGTGGCCCTGCATTGCTGTGAAGCTGAAGGGCAGTACATAATCTCGACTGGGAATGTAGGGTCTGCTCCCTCTCAGTGTGCAAGAACTATACGCTTTACAAGGTGAAGCAGTAACTTATCTAATGCAACATGGCTGGCATAAAGCCTTTAAAATAGGACAAAAACATCTCTAGATGCCTTTGGTAGCTTGTTGGTGGGTGCATGCTTTTCTAAGCTTTTATAGTGTTCTATTTTCTCATCTGCAGCATGACTTAGATGTTACAGGTCAATATGTTTGACACGCAAAGCCTATTCACCTGTTAGGGGTATCTGTTTTACTTGGAAAAAAATGCTACTCAGCCAACCTAAAAAAAAAAACAGCTTTAAAGCTCACATAGAAGTGGAACTTATGTATTTTTATTATATACATTTTATTCCCGTTAAGTGCAATGTATACGAAAATGATTAAGGAATAACCTATAAAATACAAAAGATGTTTAAAGCAATGACGGGTAGGGGTTTCAAATGTAATAATGGAAATATATCATTCTTTAGACACTTGTTTGAAATCTATTTAGCTTCACCTTTCTTTTTTTTTTTTTAATATGTTTATAAATCAAAAGTCTCCTTGTGGTGCTAAGTTTCCTGTTGAGAGGGAGGTTATGTCACTAAGTTGAGGTGCTTTGTCACTCCGGCTGGTATACTGCCTTCTCTACCATGTAAGATGACATGGTTCAGCATTATACAACCATAATATTGACCATTTCCACAACTGTGATATCAATTTGCTGCTCTGAAAAGTGTATTTTTACATGTTTTAGGATTATATATGGTTTTCGTTCCTTCATTCTTATCAAGTGTGTGTGCTGTATTGTGAGCAAGTAACGTTCAGAAAATAGTCAAAGAATAGATGCAGCAGTTGCTCCTTTGGAACAGTTGGCTGGATGCAAACAGCTGTTCTGTCGATAGTTAAAGCAACTTTATTTTGAGAATTAAGGGGAGGAATTGACTGCGTTTTTAACTTATGAATTTATCCACAGTAATTAATGTCTAATGTAGGCATTGCCTGGGCAAGGAAGATGACTGAGAATAGTGAAAATCTATGATAAGACCTCTATATAATAGGAGGAGTAAATTGTTGAGTCAGGAGAGCGACAGACCTAAATATTTCAAAGTGACTTATCTCTTTTTCTTCAAAACAAACAAACAAACAAAAAAAAAAAAAAAAAACTTGTGTCCTAATAATCAGAGCAGCTACTGACGAAGGTGACTAGAAGTGTTTTTGTCAAATAGCAGTAGCCCACTGTACTGTCGCGGAGGAAATTCTGCCTACCTTTGGGAGTGATGCTCGTGACCCTGAGCTTTGTGTTGTCATGGTCAGCACAGTTGTTATGCCCAAAGCCACTCTGGCTGGAGCTGCATCCATGTTGATCCAAAATGACACCCAAGAGAGAATGACGATCAAGAGACTCGGTATGTACATCTGGATGAGATAGTAACCCATTTGCCTCTCCAGGTGGAATCGGACTTCAATGCATGTAAACTTTCCTTGTTATAACAAAGAAAAAATGCATAGAAATAGCATGTTCATTACTGTCAACACCTTGTCAAATATATTTGTTCTGTAATGAATGATGCATGTTTTGTGTTTTGCAATATATATGCTCTCCACTACAATGAGAGTATCAACTGAAAAGAAAGGGAACTGAAAAAATGAAAATGTAAAAGTTCAACCCTTCTCTCAAAATCAGAGAGATAACTGAAACAAGCCATTAAGACACAGAAGAATTATGTTGTGGGATCATTTTTGTTATCCTGCATACTGTTTAGAAATGCTACTGTCTGCAAAGAAAAGGTTTACTCTCCCATGGTATAAAATCTTTATCTCTTGATTCAATTTTAAGGTACAATTTGTTTTTGAAATGCAGTGATTTGGAGGAGAATGTCATAAGACCAATGTGGGCATTAGGTTATCAATAGAAGATTATTCTAAATATCCTCCTTTATCCCCATTCCATCTGTTCTGACTTAAAAACACCATAATGGAGGTTCAAACAGAAACAGAGCATGTGGAATTAGGCTACTTCAGGAGACTACTGGAGTGGCCTAATTCTTCCAAGAAATAAACTGACCTTCTGGAGAGCAGCTCTGCAGAGAGGGACCTGGGTGTCATGGTGGATGACAAGTTGACCATGAGGCAGCAGTGTGCCCTTGTGGCCAAGAAGGCCAATGGGACTCTGGGGTGCATTAAGAAGAGCGTCTCCAGCAGGTC